ATATAGGTTGGAATTGAATGGAATAGAATAGAATATGGAATGGAATGGAATGGAATAGAATAGAATAGAATAGAATATAGGTTGGAATTGAATGGAATAGAATAGAATATGGAATGGAATGGAATGGAATGGAATAGGATATAGAATAGGATATAGAATAGAATAGAATAGAATAGAATAGAATAGAATATAGAATGGAATTGAATAGAATAGAAATATGGAATGGAATGGAATAGAATATAGAAAATGAATAGAATAAGAGGAATGAAGAATAGAATAGAATAGAATAGAAATATGGAATGGAATGGAATGGAATAGAATATAGAAAATGAATAGAATAAGAGGAATGAAGAATAGAATTGAATAGAATAGAAATATGGAATGGAATGGAATAGAATATAGAAAATGAATAGAATAAGAGGAATGAAGAATAGAATAGAATATGGAATGGAATGAAATAGAATAGAATAGAATAGAATAGAATAGAATAGAATAGAAATAAGAATAGGATAGAATGGAACAGAACAGAATAGAAAAGAATAGAAATATGGAATGGAATGGAATAGAATATAGAATGGAATGGAATGGAATAGATAGAATATAGAATAGGATATAGAATAGAATAGAATATAGAATGGAATTGAATAGAATAGAATAGAAATATGGAATGGAATGGAATAGAATATAGAAAATGAATAGAATAAGAGGAATGAAGAATAGAATAGAATAAGCCTTAGTAAAGCCACACCTGGAATCCTGCATCCAGTTTTGGTCGCCACAAATTACAAAAAAGATGTTGAGACTTTGGGAAACGTGCAAAGAAGAGCAACAAAGGAGATTAAAGGCCTGGAGACGAAAACAGAGGAGGAGCCATCGCAGGATTTGGGTTTGGCCAGTCTAGCGAAAAGAAGGACGAGGGGGGATACGGTGGCAATGCTCCAGTGTTTGAGGGGCTGCCCCAAAGAAGAGGGAGTCTAGCTATTCTCCAAAGCTCCTGTGGGCAGGACAAGAAGCAACGGGGGGAAACTAATCCAGGAGAGAAGCGATCTGGAATGAAGGAGAAACTTCGCAACAGTGAGGACAATTAACCAGTGGAACAGCTTGCCACTAGAGGTTGTAGATGCTCCATCACTGGGGGTTTTTAAAGAGAGAGTAGACAGCCATTAGTCTAAAATAGTCGAGGGCCTCCTGCTTGGGCAGGGGGTTGGACTAGAAGACCTCCGAGGTCCCTTCCAGCTCTATTCTGAGTGAGAGGGAATAAACAACCCAGGGGCCTGGCAAACTTTGTCATTTGCTCCGAAGAGCCAAGAACTACACAAAGGTCCAGGTGGAGATTTAGAAATGAGCCTTACTCCGTCTTGCAGACCGAGGGCTGCTACACGCCAGGAGAAGCCGGAAGCAAGTGATAGATGAAAGAAGGAAATCACTCATCTCTTTCTCTCCCTCTCTCCCTCTCTCCCTCTCTCTTTCTCTCCCTCTCCCTTTCTCTCCTTTCTTTCTTTCTCTCTCTCCCTCTCTCTCTCTTTCTCTCCCTCTCTCTCTCTCTTTCTCTCCCTCTCCCTTTCTCTCCTTTCTTTCTCTNAGAGAGAGAGAGAGAAAGAGAGAGAAGGAGAGAGAGAGAGAAAGAGAGAGAGAAGGAGAGAGAGAAGGAGAGAGAGAGAAGGAGAGAAAGAGAGAGAAGAAGAGAGAGAGAGAAAGAGAAAGAGAGAGAGAAAGAGCGAGAGAAGGTTTTTATCTTAGAGGGCCTTCCTCGAATGGGAGAGCCGGGAAGGTGATCTTTGCTTTGAACAAGGAGCTTCCCCCAAAAAGTGGATTTTGTGCCTGGCAGGTGGTGGGTCTGTCCCATGTTCCTGTGGGGGGAGAGTCAGGAAAGAAAGCAGACAATGATACTCCCTTCTTCCCTTCCCTCTGTAATGGCTTTCTTTTCTCCTTAACTTCCTTTCCCTCCCTCCCTTCCTTCTTCTTTTCTCCCTCTCTTCATCCCTCTTTTTTCCTCTATGTTTTCCTCCCTCCCTCCCTTCTTTCCTTTCTAATTCACTTCCTTCCTCACTCCCTTCCGTTTTTCCTTTCTACTTCCCTCCCTCCCACCTACCCTCCCTCCCTCCCTCCCTCCTTTCTTTCCTTCCTTCCTTCACTCTCCTTTTCATTCTGCTTCCCTCCCCTCCATCCTCCCTGTCTCCCTCCTTCCCTTCTTTCCTTCCTCCCTCCCTCCCTTCATCTTTTCTTTTCTACTTTTTCCTCCCTCCCTTCTTTCCTTTCTACTTTACTTCCTCCTTCCCTTCCTTTTTCCCTTTCCTTTCTACTTCCCTCCCTCCCTCCTTCCCACCCTCCCTCCCTTCTTTCCTTTCTTCTTTCACTCTCATTTCCTTTCTGTTTCCCTTCCTCCCATCCTCCCTGTCTCCCTCCCTCACTTCCTCACTCCTTTCCTTCTCCTCCTTCCCTTCCTCCTTCCCTTTCTTTTCCTTCCCTCCCTCCCACATTTTCTTCTACTCTTCCATTGCCTTCCTTCTCTCTCTCCGCCCCTTCCTTCCTTCTCCCCTTCCCTTTTCCTCCATTCCCCCTCCCTCCCCCTTTGCAGATGGCTATGACCCCGCGAACAAGCAGCACCACAGCCTCCTGCTGTACCTTCTCATGACCTCCTGTGACCTCTCAGACCAGACCAAGGGCTGGAAGACCACCCGGAAGATTGCAGTGAGTACAAGACCAAGGACGGAGCCCCAGTCCCCCCCGGACTCCCGTGTCCCGGCCCCTCGGTGGACTGGGGCTCCGTCCTTGGCCCTCCCTTGGGAGCTGGAGGTCTTCCTCCTGTGTGGCACCTTCTCCCGGCCAAAGGAGCCCCCGGCCTTGGCAGCCACCCACATCCCCTCCTGTTTTGGGTGCCCGGGCAAAAAAACTCAGCCAAATTTTGCCTGTTGGGTTGCAGCTGGGAGGGGAAAAGAGGAACATCATGCCAGGATCTCCTGCTTGAGCAGGGGGTTGGACTAGAACAGTGTTTCTCAACCTTGGCAACTTGAAGATGTCTGGACTTCAACTCCCAGAATTCCCCAGCCAGC